GCACTGCCCTCTTGTATTGTAGTACCAGAAACATGCACAGCCATTTTTCCTTCCTTTGTACTGCCCTCTTGTATTGTAGTATCCATATTCAGGTTGACTTTTGAAATCCTGGTATTATCCTTCTCAATTTCCTTCCTAATTTCATCAGAAATTGGATTCTGGTCATGTTTGGGTACCCATTTTTGAGTTTTCAACTGTCTTCTACAATTTCTTATATCATGACCAATCTGCTTACATACTTCACACCATTTAGGTTTAAATTCATAAACCACCTTCTGAGTGTATTGCTTCCCTTTAGGATCTAGAATGTTGATTTTATCTGGGAGGGGAGAGGGCATTTTAACCTCCACTAATACCCTCGCATAAGCCAAACGTTGCATGTTTGCAGTCAGTTTATCAGTAGCTATTGGACAACCTATAGCACTTACAATTTTTGAAATACTCTTTGCATTCCATAGATTGAGTCTGAGAGATGGAAGTTGTATCCACAAAGGATACACACTGTCATTTATCTTCTCAAAATCTTCTTCGTTTGTCCATTGTTTCAATAACAAAGGTCTTGATCCAAAAAACCAAGGGCCCTTACACAAGATAGCATTCATCTCATCAGTATTTTTGAATTTGATCAGAAAAAGTCCAGGTTTTAGAAGGCATAATTCTGGCATAAAATCCCTCCAAGTTCTTTGCACATATCGCTCCATAGCCTTGAACTTAACATTTAAACCCATAACTTGGCCTATTAGTGAAGATTTCCATACTGTAATATCCTCATTCCATTCTTCATCATTAAAAGATATTGTGTCTTTATTTTCAGAAGGAACATAGTTTAAATTCATCACATACTCTATCTTCCTGTTATCTGTGAACAGACTTGCCCAATTTTTCACCAATTTTTCCCCCGTTCCATTTGAATTCTCATCAGAAATTGGAGAACTAATCTTCCCAGAGCTCCCAAGAATAGGATTACCAGTTAAGGACTCAGCTTCTATAATAATTGGAGAATTATTTATGCCAGAATTCAATAGAACAGTATTTTTCTCCTTTTCCTGATCAGGACTCCCAGATTTATTCAGATTCATCTGAAAATCTTGATTTAAAGAAGAATCTAAATTATCCAGATCATCCGCCCAAGATTTGACAGATCTACTAGCAACAGCTGAATTATTAAACTCAAGCTTTCCTTCAAATCCAGGTGAGAGAATCTTACCAAGAACAGGACCTCGCGGACTCCGATCACCCTGCCGACCAGAGTTTTGCAGAATCTGACGATTCAGAACAAAATCAAACTCAAATTTACCCGAATTCAGCACCTCTGCCATAGATCTAGACTTTCTTGCCCCCTTTGGCCCAGTAGAATCCATTTCAATGGAATCTACATCTTCTTCCTCACTTAGATCAGATAAGCCATCAGAGACCGTTGAGTTCAGCTTTGGAGCTCTCAATCCAATCTCCAATATCTTTTTTCCACTTCCTTTCTTCTTCTTCCTCATCGAAAAACTCAAATTTTCACAGGAAAACTCGGCGGGNCGGCGGGGGTGCACGATAGCAGAGCGAAAATCGCCTGCTATCATACACCATACAGACCGCCCCTAACTCAGGTATTCTTTGTATGAAAGTTTGTCGTACTTGATCCAATAATAATTACTTTGGACTATTTCAAAATTTGCAACTTTAATGGATTATTACCCACTAGTTTGGCATTGTTTGTTCGTTTCATCCTAACCCAATTAATTATACATACTTCAAAATTCATAATTTTCTTAGGGTATTAACAATGATTTTAAAAAATAGCAATTTTTATGGGTTGTAATCCATGATTTTTATTAATTAATTATGTTATTTTGACCCAATGACAATTAATTATGCGTACTTCAACAATCACGATTTTCATATTCTATTATCCATAATTTTTCATAATTGCAAATTTCATGGGTAAAATCTATGATGTTTATGAATTTTCATACCTTTTATGTCGACTGAGTTTCATTTCTTTAAAATTTGTGATTCTCATGTGCTATATTCTATGGTTTTTGTAAATTTAGTTCTTTTTTACTAGCAATTAATTTCTTCAAACTCCATCATTTTCATGGGCTATATTCTACGGTATTATAACCCACGATTTTTGTCAATTTCATTCATTTCGACCTAATTCCAATTAATAATGCATACTTCAAAATTTACAATTTAGATGGACAATTAACAAGAAGTTTAAAAAATCATGATTTTCGTGGGCTAAACCTATGATTTGTTTTTTAATTTTTGCTCTTTTCATCCCAATAACTATTAATTATGCATGTTTCAAAATTTACGATTTTTATGATCTATTTCCCAAGATTTTTCAAATCTATAATCTCATGGGCCGTAACTCACGATTTTTGTGAATTTTCACTTGTTTTGACTCAATGACAATTAAGTTCCATATCTTCAAAATTCATGATTATGATGGGCTAACCCATGATTGTTGTTAATTTCATTCTTTTCGACCCAATTCTAATTTACGATGCCTACTTAAAATTAACTATTTTTATGGGTTGTTATCAACAATTTAAAGGATAATGATTTTCATGATATATTACCCACGATTTTTTAAATTTGCAAATTTCATAGGGCATGACCCACCAATTTTTTAATTTTCATTTGTTTTGACACAATGACAAGTAAGTTTTATTTCTTCAAAATTCGTGATTCTCATGACCTATGACACGCAATGTTTATAAATTTTTGTTCATTTTGATCCAATTCCAATGAATTATGCATACTACAAAATTTACGATTTCCATTAGTTATTAAAAACGAATTCAAAAAATCGCGATTTTCATGAGCAACTAATGATTTTGTTCATTTGTTGTTATTCCACTCATTGACAAATAAGTAATGTTTACTTTGAAAATTCGTGATTTTTATGAGCTATACTCCATTACTTTTGTTTATTTTTTTGTTTCTTTCTACCTAGTAGCTAATTAATTGTGCAAACTTCAATGGTCACGAATTTTATAGGTCATAACCCACGATTTTCATCCATTTTCGTTCATTCGATTCAATGCCAATTAATTATCACTACTTCATACAACACTGTGGCATCGTTTGGGAGGCCTGACTGGTGTTGGATTTGAGTCGTCATCAATGGAATCCATCTGTTGTTGACCACGGGCTTGGCCACGAGCAAAAGTTCAAATTCAAGAAGATTTGTAAAACAGTGACCAGAATTTGCTGCTAAACAAAGAACTTGATGCTCATGAGTTCACATCTTCATTCGGAAATACAAAGGATGACATAATTTAACCAAGCTTTTGAACTACAAAAGACTGAATCCTTCGTGTGTAAGGTGGATAATCTCCATTGGATAGAGCAAATAATTTAGATATGTATATCAGATCAAGCCTTTGACGTTTGTACCTGTACACCTTGACTATTGAAAACAAAGTGTTTCAATATAAATTTCCTTTTTTTTTTACTTTTTCACTTCTTTTTCTAGTCAAAACTGTGAAATCAACGGGCATTATACACGCGTTTTTCCTTTTTGTATTAAGGAGGCAGAAGGTTGCACAAAGACATTTGCTCCTATCTTTACAGTCTTAGATTGCATAGGGTTCGACTTTGTAGGCCCTTCAACCTTGATTCTTGGAATTCCTAAGTATTGAATGACAACTTCATATTAGATATTGGGGTTGAAACACTGAATATGAAGGATACAGACCGACACCTGCCCACATACCGAAAGGGTAGAGCACCTGTGAAGTTACCACTCTTGTTGTCGCTGCTGCTTCTGCTACTGCTAGGTGATCGCTGGGTATCTATCGCTCTTGGTTTTCAGGGTTATTCAATTTGAGTGACTGATACGCGCCTAGAATGTTTCCAAGTACAATTGCTCATGTAGATATCAGGTACAGAAACTAAGTAAGCCACAAGATTTTTGCCTAATCCGAGAACAGGTCAACAGCTTACACTGTTTCGGCACTAGAAGAACAAGGGTTTAGTAAAATGTATGGTACCTGATATTTTGCTCATGTATGCCAGTTAGATGGCATGATAGGTAAATAAATTAAACTAGAAGGAACATTTGCAATGTGAAAAGATAAATTTCTTGCTCGAGTAAACTTTGCCTGCAGAAGTTTGTACTGCAGGGCGCTAGTCCTTGAATTTAATTTGCCTGTTGGAAAAGAGACGTGCACCTTAAATTTAGAGAGATCCAGATGAATACTGAATATGGAAGCGATCGTGCTTCTATTTGCTACCTGGATGGATCTTGACGCTGTTTCTTTGCTGCATCTGTCCATTTGCATTATGTCTTCGTCTTTTTATTGTCATAATAACTTTTGTTTGTTGATATTGTACTCTGAACGACAATTAGAGATACCTGTAATTGCAGCCGATAAAAAAGCCGTAGGATCAAGGCGTGAATCCTGTTATCGGCACCTGTTTAGGTTCTCTCTTGGAGGTTACGTATCGAGGCCTGAAGCTTTTTTTTTCTTCACGAGTTCTGCAAGAGTACTGGAGATTTTCCAGGCGACGAGTGTTCTCGTGCTATATATTGTATCTGTGGGCATGGCTTCGTAGGCTGTAGATCAAGCGCTTCATGTGTTGGCGGGTTACTTCGTCTAAACAGGGTTTTATCATCTTCGCGCTTGAAGCGTTCTGGCTTTTCTGGCTTCTCGTGTAACCGAATTTGAGAGGAAAACTGCACACAGATTTGGACCCTCCGTTCGTCTATACTATGAACGAGCTATTGGCAATGAAGAGAACACAAAGACAAAGGAACCGTACAGAGAGAGAATAAAAGAAAACGGGAGATAATGAAGGTGATGAATCAAAGAAATTACGCAAGGAATTAAATAGATACTCTATGACAAGGGACTGAATAGTTACAGCTAATTACAATTTGTAAAACCCTTTGTTAGTAGAGAATCCAAATAAGGTAAGATCTTCACAATATAGCACACGACCTGCCGACATGCACATAATCCCCATTTATTCATTTAAAAAAAAAAAAACCCGGTGAATGAAAAGCATAATACTGAGCACATGCATCACATAAGTTAAAAGCCAATCAAACAGATGTAGCATACAGACAATAATTCCTCAACACCGTTGAGCTAGTGCCTTAGTCAGAATGCAACCGTCTACAAATCGTTGGAAGTAAATAGAGCTGACACACTAAAAATACATAGATAAACCTATTCTACTTGCTATATCATCACTAGTCGTGTACCATGCCAATCCCTGAACCTCACAGGAGTAAGCCGGCATCTATACACCCAAACCTCCTATGGGAACACTACATTACATACACAACATCCTTTCTTGTTCTAAAACCTGCAGCAGCGCTTCGCCCGTCTCGCTCAAGAATTTACATAAAGCCTGTCATACTAATCTCCTGAAAGTTCTTATGCTACAAAATAAGTTGCTTCTTTCTTAATGAGGGAGTTGACAAATGTTGTCAGGCCTCCGTAGACTGAAACTGTAAGCTGGATTGTATATCTCAGACTCTTTTGTTACACGTGGTGTGGAATGGACATAAAGACCTTATAGGTCTAGAGCTGTCTTCAAACATGGGTAATTTCCTAGATCTTCACCTGCAAGTACACTTTTCAAGAAGAATCAGAAGATATTAGACAGGAATGCAGAGAAAATTTGGGGTGCTAAAAATATTGATAATCTGGTACCAACTTATTTTATATTTATTTCGAATTTGCACTTATATACCCCTAAAGTTTACACCATTTTCAGCTTTGATACCACCAAAGTTCTCTTTTGCCCATAAAATATCGCAAAGTTAAAAAAAAAAAAAAATCCAACTTTGATACCCTAAATTCACTTGGTGGCAGTATAAGAAAGTTCACCTTCTTTTTGGACTTTGGGATATTTTTTGGGGGGGAAAACTGTAGGGTAACAAAGTTACAAAGAGTGTAAACTTTGAGGTATTAAAGCACAAATAACTAAAGAGAGATGGGTATGCAATATCCATCTATACTACTATAAAAAGAGGATAGGATTGTTAAAACTTTTAATTTTCTTTTTTACCCTCTCAAATTTTAATAGATTCTAACTATACCATTATCTCTAATTAATCTACCATTAAATAAATACAACCTCTTATTAATTATGAACCTCCTCAAATTACTAAATAATTATAATTATCAATAAAATTATAACTATTAATTGTTTAAAACTAATATAATAAAATAATTTATAAAATAAGTATACACAATCATTAGTAGTAGCCAATTAAATTATTATAATAATTATTTATGAAATATAATAAAATAATTAAAATATTTGTATAAATAGAATAACATATTATTAAATACTATTAAGAATTATACTATAATTCTATGATCAATAAAATAAATAGAATAAATATTTAACCACATAAATAGTATAATTATTTTAGTGATATCACATAAATTATGAATTACATTGTTCACTTAGTATTATATTATTACATAAATTGAATGAATAACTTAATATTATTTTTTGAGTATTTGCTCAAAGACTATTACATGATACTGAATAATCTATACTCGGTAATGATTGAAAACTAACCTTTCAAAAAAATTATTTAATATTAATAATAGTACTATTAATTATTAATTATAATATAATAATAATTTATAGTATTTTTATAGTAATAAATTATTTAAGTGCATAATTAAAAAAATAAATTAGATGAATATTTTATAGTATAAAATAGTATACTTATTTTAGTAATATTATTTGAACTAAGAATTATAATATTAAATAAGGTAATTACAATAGACCCCCATTAAATTTCGACATTTTGTAGTAAATAGACCCTATGAACTTTCAAAATAACACTAAACCCCTAATAACTTTTGTAGAAAGCCCCTAATATCTTTTAGATAAATTACACCAAATCTCCAGCAACTTTCAAAATGCTTTTTTATGCCATTTTAGGTTCTAATTCATAGGGGTTATTTGCAAATTTTAGAAAGTTACTGAGGAGTTTTCTTTGAAACAGAAAAGTAATTAGGGGTTTACTGTGATTTTGAAAGTTCATAGGGGCTAGAAGTTCATAAGGGTTTAATGTAATTTACCCTATTAAATAATTATACTGAGAAGTAATTACTGCAATATGTTGAAGGTATTAAATTTATTATATAGGAAACATCAGAAAAAAGCTAGCAAGATTACTGCAGCTTAGTTAATTCTGAATTAAGTTAATATTCAAGTTGGAGGGGCATATTTAAGAGAACTTATGAAATTGGCATTATATAAAAATAATATTAGATTTAGGGACTTATTTAAAAAAAAGTTAACACTGGGTGAATCATGATAAGAAAAAAATTCAATTATAATAACTACACAATAATAATTAATTCATACATTTTTTAAAGCAATCTTATTATAAAATTTTATTTATACACAGTTTAACTATTCAATAAAAATTTAAAACTTAAAACATGTACATTAACGTGCTTTGCACGTGCATTGTACTAGTCAATATAAAATATGGATATGACATTGGTAAACTATCTGGATATTCGGATACATAGTTAAACGTGCTGAATATGTCCACATGCACGCAAACAGGCATAAATATCTAACAGTCATTATACTTTTTTAAGATCACAAAATAAAGCTAATTTGAACATATATTATTTGTATCAGTGAGCAGGCACTATATAACACTATGATCTATGCCTTCACTTGAAAACTACCTCTTCTGGATTCCATACCCTAAACAGGGCCTAACCTAAATAATTCTGCCTTTGTCAAGAAAACCACGATAACCAACAGTTCATGTTGAAGGAATATGGATTAACTATATATCAGAAAAACTAATCTCTAATACTTTCCCCATTTGGATCTTTGGACGACATGGAAAGACCTCTAGTAGAAATGAGGCTCTCAATTAGAAAAGGAGAAGAAACAAAGACAGGAAAACATATTTGTTACATTACAAATGTTGAGATTTGAACTCATGACTTAACTGGAAACTACTTTTTTACCATCTAAAAAATTCTAATACTGCACTAAAACTTGAAACTATGGCGAGTTTGAGGGCTAAATTTTATCCTAACACTCCATAAATTGAACGTACTTTTTTAGGTCTGAATTAGAGCTTCTGCACATCCCCTCATATGATTTGTAAAAAAGATTGCAAGCTCACAGTGGAAAAGCTTCTTTCTGCAACATTGACACGCAACTGTACCACAACATACACTTTCCTCGCCTTTAGAGAATGAAAAACTAAATCATACAGCCCACTTAAGCACTACCATGATCACTGAAGACAAATAATAATGCAGAGAAGCAGTTTGCTCACCAACTGATCAACTCAAATCAGAAGTCTCTTTTCGACTTTTCCTTCAGCATAGATTTGTTCCATCAGAAGCCATTACCGTCTCCGCTTGATCTGGAGCATGAACAGTGTTTACTACAGCATTAGAAGTTGAGGAGCACACTTACTTCTGTGACTACTGGTGGTAAGAGGCAAAATTTTTACCTAAAACCATTGATTTACCACCTTCAACTTGCAGAGGTTCCGAATTCATTTCAGATTTTGCTTGTTCTGGAACATAGTAATGTTTAGTTGAGCATATATATTATTATAGAAGCAAAATTATTCTTGGCAAAAATATGGTAGCAGGAGAAACATTCACCTGAAACCTCTAAGTTACCACCTTCAATGATTGCTGCATCATGCTTGTCTTGCACCATTGTGGTGGAAGTCGAATCATGTTTATCTAGCAGTGTGGCAGCAAGTTCTGCATCCTGATTTTGTTGTGTAGTGACAAGCACTGAATCACGCTTGATTTGCTTATCCTCAGCTTCAACCTGTTCAGCATCAGAACCTATCACATCGTTTGATACCTCTGTGACATGATGGTTGATTCAATGAGCACAAATGTTGAGAATAAACATTATTTACCAACTAATCCAATTAGAAGTAGTAATTTCACCTGAGAAGTTGCTAACTGCAGTGGGTTCATCACACTTGTCCTGTGGTGTGACAATAACTGGTGCATCATGATCGAGTTCTACTTGATTATCTGAGGGCAGCGAGGCAATGGGCTCTATATCCTGATTATCTTGTGGTGTGCTTAAGGGTGCTGCATCATGAATATCTTGTGGAGTGAATAAGGGTGCTGCATCATGCTTATCTTGTGGCATGTTGTTGGGTGTTCCATCAAGATTTTCTGCTGTAATAGGAATTGAACCATCTTTATTTAGTTCTGAAGCCTTATTTTTCTGTGGTGCAGCAATTAGTGCTGGATCATTATTATCTTGGGGTAATGACTCGCCACCTTCAGCTTCAACTCCTTCAGCATCTTGTGTTACCGCAGCCTCTGCTTTATGTGAAATATGATCAGTTTTTCAATCATTGAGAGGAAACATTTGTTACCAACTAATCAAGGTAGAAAGATAATTTCACCTGAAAGCTCTAAGTTACCACCTTCAGTGAGTGCTGCATCAAGATTGTCTTGTGAAGTGGTGCCTGTTTCAAGCCTATCTTGCAGTAAGGCAACAGGTTCTGCATCTTGATTTTGCTGCGGTGTAGAGGTCAATGCAGGAAAGTGCTCGTCTTGTGGTAACGACTCATTAACCTCAGGTTCAACTTGCATATTATCTGATGTTACCACATCCTCTACTTGTTCTGTTACATGATCATTGTGTTAGTGAGCACAAGTATTTGAACATGAAACGTATTATCAACAAATGAAAATAGTATTAGTTCACCTGAGAACTCTAAATTACTTTCTAAAGTTGGTCCTCCATTGCCTCGTACTATGATGGCTGGTGCTGCATCATGATTCTCTTCTACCATTGCAGAGGATGGTAAAGCATCACAGCCCTGTGCTGTGGCTATAGATGAGGCTATAGGTGCAGCATCATGATGGCCTGGAGATATGGCAGTGGATACTGCATCATGATTATCTATAGTGGTGGATGCTGCAATATTGTTTTCTTGTGGTAGTGAGCCAAGAGGTCCTGTGACCCGAGTATCTTCTGGCAGTGAGACAATGGTGTCTGCGTCTTGATTATCTTGTGGTATAGCAATTGGTGCTGTATCATGATTATCTTGTGGGGTGGTTATGGGTGCTTCATCACTACTATCTTCCGGCAAGCTAATTGGCATTTTATCAAGATTGTCTTGTGTTGTGGTGGGTGTTGAATCATCTTTACCTACAAGTGAGGGAACCGGGTTTTCATCCTGATTTTGTTGTGGTGTAGTGATCCGTGTTGCGTCTTCTGGTAATGACTCCTCAACATCAGCTTCAACTTGTATAGTGCCGGACAATATTACAGTCTCTGCTTGCTCTGTGGCATTGTTCATTATTTCAGGAAGGACAAGTATGTGAGAGCAAACATTTAGTACCAGCTAATCAAGATAGGAGTAAGTTCACCTGAAAGCTCTAAGTTGACACCTTCAGTGAGCGAGATACTGCAATTGTCTTCTAGTGTGAGGATAGCTGCCACATCATGATTGTCTTGCCCCATGCTAATCGGTGCTGCATCTTGATCATTTTGTGCGCTGGTCGGTACTAAACTGTGTCCATCTAGCGTTAAGGAAACAGGTATAGCATCCTGATTTTCTTGTTGCATGATGATCAGTGATGGGTCATGTTTGTCACTTGGTGATGACTCCTTACCCTGAGCTTCAGCCTGCACTGTAACTATCACGTGCTCTGCTGGATCTGGGACATGATCATTGTTACAATGAGCACTAGCATTTAAGAGCAACCATTTAATGCTACTAATCCAGGTAGAATAAGTTCACCTGAACATTCCAAGTTACTTCCTACAGCCGGTCCTGCATCACATATGTCTTGCAGAATGGTGATCGCTGCTGCACCATGATTGTCTTCCACCATGGTAGAGGGTGCTGCTTCCATATCGTCTTGTGTATCAGTGGGTGTTAAATCATGTTTATCTGGCAGTGATTGTTTCAATAAGTAAGTACTTGAGAGCAAAATTTATCAACTAATCAATTTAGAAGGAGAAGTCACCTGAAAGATCCAAGTTACTTCCTATAGTGAATCCTGCATCACATTTGTCTTCCAGTGTACCGCTGCCTGCTACTACATCATGATTGTCTTGCACCATGGAGATGGGTGCTAAGTCATGATCCTCTTGAACTGTAATGGTTTGTGCCAAGTCATGCTCATGCTTATCATCCTGTGACATTGCAATTAACGCTGCATCAAGATCTTCTCGTGGCACAGTGATGGATGCTGCACCTTGGGCATCTCGCATTGTCGCATCAGGTGCTTCTTCCTGAGTGCCTTGGGAGTTAGCCTGAAGAGCGGACCCGGAAGTCCATGGCTTGAGCTGGTAACTAAGAAGCCTAGAGCCAAAAAATTTCGATGCACTACTGAACGCAGCTTCTGCATCAACGCGCCTCTTGAAGACTACTTTAGCGCGGTTAGTTTTCTTCTCAATTTCTGTTACTGCTGCTTTTAGACGTCCATACCGGCTAAAAGTTCTAATGAGATCTGTTTCAGAGGGAAGAGAATGTGCATTGTTAAAACTTAAAACCAGTGCAGTCGGCATGCACTCATCCACGATTTTTTCTTCTACAGTGATGATTGGTCTTTCTGCTACAAATGTATGCTTGGGACTCATGGCCAAAAGTTGCAACCGTTGTTCAAAGTGGGACATGGAGGATGAAGGAAGAGACAATGATTGTTCTCCAGTTGACTTCCTCCTCTTCTGGTACTGTATATAAGTTTTCTTATCTTTTTTCTGTTGAAGGTCCATATCAGACCAGCACGAATCTTTCATATAATCCGGTCCAGACATCTCATAAGGGACCATCTCAGCGTTTATTTTTCTTGGCCTACCCCTTTTACGTGTCTCGGTAGGGCAAGCCAGCTGAGAATCTATTTTTCTGGGCCTTCCCCTTTTACGTTTCTGAACAGGTTCATTGTCCTGATAAGAGGCAGGAGGAGCTGACTGGGGGGTTTTTCTTGGCCTGTCCTCATAACAGGCAGAAGGTTCTGGCAGAGGATTTTTTCTTGGCCTGCCCCTCTTACGCTTCTCAACAACAGGCTTCTCAACAGGCTTTTCCTCTTCAGAACTAATATCAGAAGTGGCAGGCTGAGGGGTGACATTATTTAGCATGCCCCTTCTATGCTTCTCAACATGTTTCTCATCCTCAGAAGAACTGATATCGGATGTAGCTTGATGAGAAATTACTTTTTTTGGCCTCCCTCTTTTACGCTTCACAACTTGCCCCTTGTCCTCAGAAGAACTAGAAATGCAGAAATTCCTGAAACCAGTGAAGAAATCAACTATTGCAGGCACAAAATCGTATTCTTCCATGGTGTCACTTGCAGCTAAACAAAGCAGAGAAAGCATCTCGCTTGTGGAGTTAAAATCCTCTGTGAAGCTTACATCAGTACTCTGGTTTTCCACGGGACTATCAGAGAGAACATCAAAATCAGCAATGTCATCTTTTTTTTGCTCAGCCTGGAAGTCACACTTCTGAAGTGTTGGCCCTTGGCTCTTAAGGATAGGTTGTGCTCCTGTCAGTTGGCTTGCAGCTCGGCGAATGAATTCCCCAATCTTAAAAGAGCTGGAAACAGCAGGAGCTGGTGACTTGAAATCTATATCATCAAAAGAATCTATCATTCTTTTCTTACATCTCCTTGAATCAACAAGATCTGTCTCAATAATAGTATGCTTCTTACCAGAAGAACTGGAAATTGGCTTTTCAGCAGCTTTTGCTACAGAGGCACTCTTTCTACCATTTGCAAGATGAACAGAGGTTCCATCTTCTGGCAGTCTAAATGTGCTTCTCAGTTTTACACCATCCTTGGAGCCATGTTCTTGTTTATCAAATGAGTCTTCTCCGCTTCTTGATCTCCCTTTTGCATAAATTAAATCTGATGGAACTGGAGTACAAAACTCAATGACATTTTCCATAGCCTCTTTACCACTAGAGGGTGAGTCTTCAGAAATAGTCTCCATCACACCTCCACTGAAAACAAATGCAGGAAGTTCAGGATAACCCTTTAAATGGTAGAAAGCCTTTAGCTGAGACTGAGCCATAACAAATTCTAGTTTATCAACTATTCCATTTGGGAACTGAGCTAATGTTGTAATATACTCCAGCAGTTTGTCAGGTTGAAAATAATTTGCAACTGTAGACCTGTCAATAAGTGGGTTAATATTTCCTCCTTTAATGGCAGCATTCTCAATTTTTTGGCACTTAATACCAGTGTAATCTTCTTCAGGCAGACAAGAACATGCCATTCCCAATTCTACACGCCTAGAGACTTCCAGCAGAATATCATGAGTAGCTCTTGCAAAAGAATCTGAACTGCACTGCTTTACCAATTGTGAGAAGTATGGATGGAAGGGCTTCAATTGGGACTCATCACACCAAGCAAAAGTTTTGTCCCCAAAATATGCTATAAGAAAGCTGTCCTTTTTCTGGTACTTCATAGCCAACTTTGTTGCATCTGAAGGATCAATTATCTGGCCCGGCCACCAAGGATGACTCTTTACTTTACCCCAGACCAAATCACAGGAGGAGAAATTAGCTTTTTCCAGCAAAGGCAAGAGGTAGCTCACATGTTCGTTATTTCCCATCAGAGGAACAATCCTAGTCCCGGAGGCCATAGATCGTTTCTTTTGCTTCTTTGTTTTGTTTTCTTCTCGCTGAAATTCTGCCTTGTGTTCGCCATCAGTACTTTCCATGACAGTTGCATCACCCTTTGTTTGACTTTCTGCTTCGTCCTTCCCGACTTGTTCAATGTATTCACCAACAGGACTTTTCTCAAAAGTAACATCACCAATTGTTTCAATCAACTTTTCCTCTTCCAAGGTCGGTGCCTTGTGTTCGTCCTCAATTGATAACACCTCTCCTCCAACTTGTCCCTTCTTCTGGCCATCAGTATGTTCCTCATCAATATCCATAGTTTCAATCACCGCTTCTTCTTCCCCAGCTTGGACCTTCTGTTTGCCATCATAACTTTCGTCAACACTGACATTACCTATTGTTTCATTCACCATTTCTTCCCCATCTTGTGCCTTCTGTTTGACATCAGTTACTATTTCATTAAATGCTTGTTGATCCTCCATATGCACCTTCTGCTCGCCATCATTATTTACCTTGACAGTGGTATTACCCACTGTCTCATTCAATGCCTCGCGTTCCCCTGATTGCAGGTTCTGCTCGCAAACGGTACTTTCCTCAGTGGCATTACCCACTGTTTTATTCAGTGCTTCTTCTTCCCTGACTTGAACACAAGTACCTTCCTCAACAAAGACATTACCTACTGTCTCACTCAATGCTTCTCGTTCCGCATCTTCCATCTTCTCCTTGCCATCAATAATTTCGTCAACAATGTCACTACCCACTGCCACAATCAGTACTTCTTGTTCCCCAACTTGCTCCTTCTGTTCACCATCAGTATTTCCCTCAACAATGGCATTGCCAAGTGCCTCATTCAATACTTCTTGTTCCGCATCTTCCATCTTCTGCTTGCCATCAATAATTTCGTCAACAATGTCACTACCCACTGCCACATTCAGTACTTCTTGTTCCCCAACTTGCTCCTTCTGTTCACCATCAGTATTTCCCTCAACAATGGCATTGCCAAGTGCCTCATTCAATACTTCTTGTTCCGCAACATGCATCATCTGCTCATCACCAGGACTTTCCTGCACAATGGCATTACCTATTGTTTCATTCAGAGCTTCTTCCTCCTGGATTTCTTCCTTGTTTTCGCCATCGGTACTGTCCCCAACATTGACATTACCCACTGTCTTGTTTAAAGCTTCTTGTTTCCCCACTTGCTCTTTCTGCTCGCCGTGAGCATTCTCCTCGACAATGGTGTTACCCACTTTCTCATTCAACACCTCTTGTTCCCTGGCATTCAGCTTCTGCTCACAATTGGAACTTTCCTCAACGGTGGCATTACCCACTGTTTTATCTTCTTCCCTGACTTGCCGCTGGTGTTCAGCATCAGTACTCTCCTCTACAACAGCATTACCCACTGTCTCTTTCAAAGCTTCTTGTCCACACACTTTCTCCTGCTCGCCATCAGTATTTTCCTCAACAATGGCATTGCCCACTCCCTCATTTAATGTTTCTTGTTCCACGACACGTGCCATGTGCTCGCCATCAGTACTCTCATCAACAGTGGCAGTACTCGTTGCCTTATTCACCACTTCTTCATCCCTGACTTCTGCGTTGTGTTTGCCATCAGTTCTTTCCTCGATAACAACATCATTCATCGTTTCATCCAACACCTCTTCCTTGCCTTGTGCATCATGTTCGTCATCAGCTCTTTCCTCAAGAACAACATCTTTCATTGTTTCATCCAGCACTCCTTCCCTAGCTTGAGCATCGTGATCACCATCAGTTCTTTCCTCGACAAAAGCATCATTCATTGTTTCATCCAACACCTCTTCCCCAGCTTGTGCCTTGTGTTCACCATCAGTTCTTTCCTCAACCACAACATCACTCATACGTTGGACCTTGTGCCCAACATCACTACTATCCTCCACCATGACACTGTCCATATCAACTAAACCCCTAGAACGTCCTCTTTGCACCTATTTTAGAATTAACTACGCTTCCACAAAGAATAGGTTTCAAGATCAAGCTTTGACTTCCTCCAATAGATAAATTCCAGCTCGTGAACATTTGCACTGAGACAGCAGTAAAAACAAACAAAAGCATCTACTTTATTATCAGATCATGCATAATTACGCCAAAAAAGATTCTTACACGGCTTTATATGCGTTCCACGAGCACAAAATCCATAAAATTTAGCAAATTTCCAAAAAATAAAAGAGGAAACTTTCTGAAATCACAAAAACCCTAGTAGCCCATTTCGTAAAGAACTAGTAATTAAACAACTTGAAGTAACAAAATAACAAGAATAAGCGAGCAATTCGAAACCTAGGAAAATAATCCTAGGTTGCTGAATTGGGGAAAAGACTGACCTCACTTGTTGAGAGAGAACGAGAGCTGTCGCCGCTGAAATTGACGGAGAAGCGAACTCTGTCGAAGTAACCTTTTGGCGGGAGTCGTCGGAGATCTACTTTTTGTCGCCGGAGAATCTTTCGATCTGTAGTGATCGATAGGAGAGAGAGAAGGGGAAGAAAAAAAAATTGGCGAACGACAGCACGAGTAGGGTTTTATTTACCGCGATATGGTTTTGGGTTAGCGGGTTCGGTGAAAGTAGACCCGAAACATCCAAGATTCCATAACATTTACTAGCATGATAACTGTACACATATCTACTCCTCTACACGAATGAGAGAATCCAAGTTTCACTGTTCATGCTACAGTAAATACCACAGTAGATTTTAATACACTATTATTACTGCAGCATACGGGATACTGTAGCATTTTGAAAGAAAATTACTGTGATAGAGACGGGAACTGTAGCGTTCGTTGAAAATAGTATAGCATTAATACTGTAACACGGATATACTGTAATAATTTAAAAACCGTGGGATACTGTAGCAATTCAAAAAAAATCTTGTTACGACATTTAAAAACATGATTACAGTAGCGTGTAAAAAATTATCGTTGTGCTTTGCACGGGCATCACACTAGTTACATAATTATTCAACTAACTAATTTTAAGGCAAAAGCTCATAAAAGAAATTTATTGAATCATATTCATTTACCTCATTAACAGAAGAAGCAATCAGAGATAGATTAACGGGGTTGTTAATTCCATCGCTGCATAGCGACATGCGCATTTATTGATTCTATCTTTGATAGCTGATTTTGTTTTTAAATGAACTCATCTATAATTTTCTAAAATAAGAAGGAATTTAACTTCTCTTTTTGTATTATCTCTTTCTTTTAAAGAATAAATTATTGCGGCACTTGCTTTATCATTATCATGTTATTGTGACATTTGCTTATCTGCCCAATAGCAAACAAGTGGCCTAATTGCCTATTTTTGGAAGTTTACAATCATTTAGTGACACGTGAGAAGGGGAAGGGATATTCAAACTAAAAAGACTCCTCAAACATCAAATCCGTTTGAACTTAAGAATCCATGGACTCGTATAACAACGGTAAAAAAATAGTATAAGAAATACTCAGTTTTCAATAGTTTCAACCATCAAGGGACGAGCAAGAATTAAAAAATGCTATTTGGCTCGCTCCCCTGCCAACTCGCGCCCAGCTCGCGCAGTGAGGAACAGGGGGTGGGGCCCACAACAGGGGAGCGAGCCAAATAGCAGCGTAGGCATGAATATATGCATTCAGAGAGTTAAGCGGCGCATATTAAACTGTCGTGCGTAAATTTACCGCATGAATCAGCTGGCATGCTTCACATATATTTCCTTCAGGAGAAAATTGAGAAACATCAACTCAGTCACAATTTGTTTAAGTTCTCGTGGTCACAGTAATACAACTTCAAGAACTTACAAAAAAATACCACACAGGGTGAAGCTAACTGTTATAAATACAGAAGTATAAGAGATGTTGATTTTGATACAGTCAGGAGGCTAGAAGCCAACACTATAAAAGTATCACGAGAACAAAAAAAGAACGGAAACAAAGGAGCTGGATTTTAGGAAAATACTCATTTCATTGATTCTATATGTTAGCTTTGTTAGACCTATATCCTTGAGCCTGTAAATTTACAGGGGGGGGGGGCGGGGGGGGGTATTCTCCTGCCCCATACTGTATTGAAGAAAATCAATATCAGGCTTCATTAGCTCGAGGAATTGAAATCAAACGATCCCCATTCTATATGTTAGTTTCGTATCTGTGTCTGTACGATCTTTAGTAAAACTAAAAAGTTGAAGATGGAATCACCATTCAATCTTCCTCATCTGCTAAGGATGCAAATGAGAAGGGTCTGAACTTGTGGTCATCACCGTGGTAGAATTTGTTCATGAATTCAACGCAATGCAGACGTAAATGAGACATCTAGATTAAAGTACATTGATGAACCTTCATCTTCAAGGTAAAATTCTGAGAACTAAATTAAAGTACAATCTCCATGATCTTAGCAAAATGGTGAAGGGTATTGAACTACTGAGACATCTAGATTTGCTGAATGCTAAGGCACCAACTAGCCTACTATGGGTACTATTACATTTGAGGGATAACTCTGACACATCAAGTGATCAAACAAAACGTTTGAGACACTAACAGCATCAAGAAATTAAAGTATGAAGCTTTCAGAATTAGACTCACCCCCAAGCAAGGAGAAGTATTTTCTCATAAAATACAGTTGACAATTCTGAGTGAGCCAAGCTGAAAACAAACATATCAGAAAAATATTACCGAACATACGATTGGGTATAAAGATGCAAAAGTGATTGGCCAACCATGATTTACTTCAGAGCCCAAAGCCGAAGATAGGATGCAGTGTTTGAGACAGCCCCCAAGACAAATTCAATTGAATGGATCATCTGATGCACAAACATTTCACTGAAGTTGAAATCCTCGTGGTGGTGCCTAAGTCTAGCAGAATCAGGTTCGACATCCAGATCCATCTCTGATGTGCCCAGCATGCCATAAGTACGACCTTGAAATCTCTAGGTGACATTGGATAAAGCAGCATATAAGGACACTGCAGCGTGGCAGGTAAGTATTTCATGTGTAATTATCACTTCCAAGATATTCTCAAGTTCAAGATATATAACATCCTGAAAAGTGTAGTGCTTTCATAATTAAAAGATAAAAAGAATAAGATGATAAATGGTAGGCAGTTTCGTGACTTGTAGAATATTAATTTCACCCCTAGGCTATAAAATCAAAATATACAGTCATGTTTTCTCCAAAGCAAAAGATCCTGTAGAAACACTTCAGAGGAAACAAACTAACAAAGTAACTTCAGTCCAGGCACATTCCAGTAACTCTAACCGTGTTAACCGCAGACGTATTCGCCAGATTTTAGTTTCAAGCTTCCCAGTACTGGCAATCACCTTCAGCACAATCCATCTACAAGCTATCTCTACAACAGGAAACAAGTTTTCTTTGGGAGCTCTAAGTTAATTAAACTGTTTTTAAAGATTATGATGGTTTTAGCTAGAAGATTTAGATTGGTGATCAATCAATTATTATACAAAGCTCAGTTTGCTTTTGTTTAAACTTCCACCAATTTAAGAATAGACAGATTCAACAGATGTTAGTTCCAGGCTTGCCAGCATTGGCATTCACCTTCAGTACAGTCCACCTAAAATAAGATCAAACTATCTCTGGTCGAGGGAAACAAATGTACTTTGGAGCTTTAAGCTTATTAAACTGTTGTTTTAAGATTTATGAAGATTTTAGCTAATGGACTTAGATTGGTGCTTTGATTAATTAATAAAAAAACTCATTTTGCTTTTATTTAAAATAGATATATTCTTGATTCTATAGCTTCCTCAAGAACTTATTCTGAATGCCATGCCAACAATTTAGAGGGTATTTTACTCTAATTGAATTTTGAGAAAGTTATGATAACTTAATTGGTCTTTTTTTTAATTAGAAGTTCCACATGCTAAAAACATTTCTCTAAAAAATCCGTTATCTTTACCAGATGTTTATAGCTGGCTGTTGTGCACCTACATAGTCATGGTTAATCATTGTGAAGGGGGAAATTTTGATTAATAAGAAAGGATGTCAACAGGGGGATCCTTTATCCCTTCTTGCTTTTACCTTTGTTGATGTGTTTACCAAAATACATTCTAAAGGTACAAAGCTACATTCTAAAGGTACGAAGCTTGTTATAGTTGGTTTCTTTTGGGTACAACTTCTTTATAATATGCAAATGGTACTGTGGTTTTTGTTGGTTGATTTTGAAATGTAAAGGATATTTACGAAGTTCTTGAACTTGAGAGTACTTATGTTCTTTAATCAACTCCGCTAAATCTATGCCAACTTGTGATGGAGTCCCTGATCAAATTACTTGGAATTTTTTTAATTGTAAATCAGCTTCTTCACTTTAGTATGTTTGGGACCCTGTTTGAATATAGGGAGAAAGGATAAAGTTGATTGCACAAGCTCCGATAGATAAAATTGTGAGGAAAGTAGTGTTTTGAAGGTAATTATTTATTTACAGTTGGTACACTCATTCTCACTGATTAGCTGTTGTTTTCCTGCTCTATGTGATATATCTTTATGGGTTAATTTATAAGGTTTAAAATAAGGCGAAAAATTGGTGGAAACACAAAGGATAATGGTCAGACCAGGACACGTGAACCGCAAAACCAATAACAGATAAGAAACGTCCTTTCTACTTGTCGTTTCACCAAGATGGTGTACAATGGAAAGTGGTTATTATACTCAAATACTCATTTTGTAAACTATTTTCTTAATGACAAATTCTGATGCAACAAAAATGAATGAAAAGAAAATGTGATTTTTTTTATTAAAGTGCTTTGCTTACCCTCCTTCTCTTGTCAATTTCTCATCCTAAAACATACAGAAAGACTGACATGTTCAATAAAGTAGTGAATTGAAAAAATCCCTGTTAACCAAATCATCTACCTCTTTGTGAAGCCTCCTTAAGATGAATGGTTTCGGAAATAGCATCCATGGAACTGCTACAAGAGCCAGAAGCAACAGGACAATCTGCTGAGAATGTAAAAAACCTTAATGCAAAAGGAAACTAAAATAACATAAATGAAGTTTTGGGTGCCAGAGCGATGTGTGTACCTGCAGTAGTTTGACCCCAAAACAACTGATTGTCACCAAGATCATCAATAGGGCTGAGGAACATGTAAACCATCACATGATATAAATCAGCTTGAGACCCCGTGCACCACTTAATGAGTGCAAGATAACCGAACAAGCTGTTGAGGAAGATCATCTGAGGTATGAATTGATACCTGGAAGGGGGGATGTTAATGCATTTTTTTTTTCAAGATTCTCTGGCTACAAAGAGAGATAAGAACTTGGAAAGGTCATACCGAATATCAAGAGAGTTCCCATAAAACTTCGCATCAAAGTAACTTAATATAATCCCTAAGTTCATCTGAGCTAGACCAAACAGTATAGACATCTTCATTTTGAGGGAGTTCAGAAATGGGAGTTCAGAGCGGCTTCCTCGCCAGCTGGGATCCAAACCAAACTTGTACGGGTCTCGGTACTTTACAAGACCAGCAGTATATGCATCACCAATTGAATCACAATTAATCAATTCTAGATCCTCAAAAATGTGATTTTCTGAAGAGGAACCTAGATTAGATTTCATTTATTCTGTTTAGGTAAACATTTGATAAAAAGAGAATTAGATAGACCAAATATTCCAAAAATTTTACATTTAAGTTTCACACAGAACAAAAACTAATGATAAATGCACAAGGAGAACAAGATACAGCTGTTTTTAGAAGATAGCTCAAAGGTCAAAGAAGGAAAAGCTGAAAATCAAAATGGAAAAGTCATGACTCATGGATACGTAAATAACAAATGACACAGTAAGAAATAAAAATGGCAGGTAAGTTTATTATATTTATCTCCTGTCTTCATGTTTAACCTCTGGCTTATGTCCATGTTGTAAAATTGTTCCATGGAATGAAAGAAATTTCATATACAAATATTGCAATCTTTATCTTCTATTTGATTCTCTCACCTTTTTGAACCATCTTCAATAAAGGTGATAATATTTTATATTCTCTACACTTGAATGACCATATAAAGCACTCCCATCTATGATTAACTGTAATAATATTAACTTCCCTTCACGTCGAGCTTATGCTTCCTGATGGATTCATTTTGCCAAAAATTTGCGCCACCTATTGAAGTCTCCTTACTTAATCATGCATTCCCCTATATGTGCTTCCTGGTAAGAATTTCTCCTTAGGCAAGACGGCAAGGTATGAATATGAATACTGAAAACTCATAAATCTGAACTGGGAAAGGAACATGGTATTCAAGTAGGAAGTAAAGAATGGCACATGACAAACTTTCAATATGGTTCATATTACATGTATTTGCAAGAGCCTGCGATGCTCACTGACTAAATGAGTCATTCTAGAAGGGAATGCAATAATGTGTCTTAACACCTCATGCAAATAACATAAAAGGTTTGTGGTTTATTATACATTGCCAGAAAGAACAAATAGCAGGCACTCTGTCATATCTTCCAATAACTTTCAAAATAAATTACAAGGGATCTTAACATACCTGCAAGTGGAATCCCGACATTTAAATGCAGATGCACCAAAAATGTGAAATGGGACAGAGAAGAACTCAATATATATTAATCCACAATAGATTGAAAATAATGCCATCAAAAGAATTACATAGCGCCCTCCAAATGCTATCTCCATAATGCTATCGAGTTTCTGAAAAAAAATTATTCATATACCGTTTGTCAAGGACAACAGATGAATTCATTTTGCAACAGCTCATAAGGGTAATTTTAAATCTACACCAGAGATTGCGGCAACCATAACCACCTTTCTAATATGTCTTAGTTGAATGCACATCACTCAAAATCCATAGAAACATAGCTATTATATGAAACATACCCGAAATCCAAGTTTTTTTCACAAGGTACAAGGATTAATGACCCCAATAACAAGCATATTCCATGGCCCCAATCTCCGAACATAACAGCGAAAAGGAAATGAAACGTGATTACTGAACATACTGCAGGATTTGATTCTTGATACATAGCCACACTGCATGGTAAGATTAAGAAGCTTGGATCAGTGACCTGAAAGACAACTTTAGGCAATGAATATAGTTATGAAACTGTTCAATAAGAGCAGCTGTCTGACTGGCATTGTTATATTGTTCTTGTGCATTATGCAATATTCAGAAAGGAACTATGATTAGTCCTTTGACATAATCAACGCAATAAAAATAAGAAGGCAAAATGTTGTATGGAAATCTGAAGGAAAATATCAGGGGCAAATTTGCTATATGGAACAGTAATTTATGTCAATTAGGAACATGAATTTGAAGAGGCAGTTCTAATAGCAAGTCCGATGAATTCATTTGATATTTCCTAAATATAAATAAATCTATTTTAAGCAGATTAAAATAGAAATTGTAAAGTCAACTAGAGACATGTTATATCTAAATGTTTTTCTGTTTGCAAAGATTCAAGTACAAACCCATAGGCATTGACAATTTCCTGAAATGCATTCATAAACTTGTTTGTCCTAAAATATGTGGGTGGTGATTCAAGAGCATCCATTTCATGGAATATTATTCCCACTTTTGAATTGCTATCAAATGTTGCACGTCACAAAGCATCCTGTATTTGTGCAGGAAATTCACAGATTGATTGGAAGTTGATGTCACAGTTTACTGCTACTCTGAAAATATTAACATTTTAGCATCTTGGCATATAAACTCTGAAGTCAGAATTATTTAATTGTGATTTATGACCTGAGGTTTGGCAAATATTGGGCACCATCCCTCCCCAACAAGACATTTTTTTTGTAACATCAAAATTGAGCACGTTCAACATGTCAAATACAGCTTTCTCTTTCTTAACCTGGAGACAATTCAAAATTAATGCTAATGACAAATGTTTCACAAAAGTTCACATCATAAAACATTTACAAGTTTTATATTCCTGTTTTCAACTCTATTTAAGTCTATAATGCCACAAGCAATCACAAGAACTACAGATACTTAAAATGGTCTAATTACCATGATAGTCCACCTTCAAAGCTGACATCCAATGGAAGTTAGAGCCTTATTTTTATGACGAATTCCAGCACCTACAAAAAGAGAGAAACTTTCGGGGTTAACTAGTTTTCTGAGGAGCAAACTATTGAAAAATAAAATATGCCATGGCAAAATGAGATATGGTAATCCTTGGTTTTATGTGGAATATCATTTGACTAACCAATGGTTGAAAACATCTCAACAGCTTAACAGGAATAGTTCTGAATAAGGGTGGCAATTTATGACATGGCCCGCTAACCTAACCTGACCCATTATAAATGGGTATGGGTCACTTTATATGAGTCGGGTCATAAACGGGTCGACCCAAAGAACTCAATTATTAATCGGGTCATAAACGGGTCAACCTGACCCGTTTAACCCATTCACTCTTTAACATTCAAAATATTTAAAGACACCCATAAAATATCAATAAACAATACAAAATCCATAAATTACATACAATGCTATAAAAATTTTACAATTCGCAGAAAACACCCTTAGAGGTTCCAAAATTAAAAAACATCCTCAAAAGTTCCAAATTTACCAAATACCATAAAAATATAGAAACTTACAAAACAGTACAAAAATCTATAAATTATAAACAATACCATGAACATTTTAAAATTTGCAAAAAACACCCTAAAAGTTTTAAAAATTGCTATATACACCTCCAAAGTCAAATTTTTGAAAAAACACCTAGAAATATAAAAAACAACAAATAGTACAAAATCTGAAACTTATAAACAGCACCATGAAAATTCTAAAATTTGCAAAAACAACACCCTAATAGTTTCAAAAGTTACAAAAAACCCCAAATAAGTCAAATTTTACACAAACACACCCCAGAAAAATTAAAATCTACAAACACCACACAATCTATAACTTATTAATAGCACCATGAAAGTTTTAAAATTTGCAAAAAACACCTGATAGTTTTAAAAGTTGCAAAAATACACAAAATAAGTTAAAATTTTAAAAAACAGAAAAATTAAAACTTACAAATATTGAAAATTTTATAATTTATAAATTACAAAAACCCGATAAAAATTTTGAGTTTTGCAAAAAAACACCCTAAATGTTTTAAAAACTTCAAAATACACGTTCAAAAGTCAAATCTTTATAGAAACACTCCCAGGAAATATCAGAACTTATATAAAGTACAAACTCTATAAGCTATAAGTAGCATCGTGGAATTTTTGAAATTTACAAAAAACACCCTAAAAGTTTAAAAAATTGCGAAATATACCCTCAAAAAGTCAAACTTTTAGAGAAACACGCCTTAGAAACAATAAAATTTATAAACAGTACAAAATCTAAAAGTTATAAACAGCATTGTGAAAATTTCAAAACTTGCAAAAAACACCCTGAAAGCTTCAAATTATAAATACACCCTCAAAAAAGCCAAATCTCATAGAAACACACCACATAAATATCAAAATTATAAATAGTACAAAATCTATAACTTATAAATAGCCACCAAAAAACGCCCTAAATTTTTCAAAATTGCAAAATACACCCTAAAAAGTATAATTTTACACAAATACATGCTAGATATATGAAAACTACAAAATTTATAGCTTATAAACAGCAATGTGAAAATTTTGGTATTTGCAAAAATCGCCCTAAAAGTTTCAAAAATTACAAAAACCTCTAAAACTCAAAATTTTTAAAAAACCTGAAAGTCAAAACTTACAAAGAGTATAAAGTCTAGAAATTTTAAAATTTACAAAAAACACCCTCAAAATTCAAATTTTACAAAAACACCCTAAAAATATCTATACTTCTAAACAGTATAAAATTTATGAATGATAAGTACGATCATAAAAACTTTGATCATAGACTCTATGTTAAGTGCAGAAAAATTATAAAACAGTTAAAAATGGGTCGTTCGGGTCAGTGAGTAACCCGTTTAATAAACGGGTTGACCCAATTATTTAATGGGTCAGGTCGGGTCAGTATTATACGGGTTGGATCAAAATTTATATGGGTTCGGTTGGGTCGGGTCGACCCGTTTGCCACCCCTAGTTCTGAACACCTTTTTTCCCATAAACATACCTCTTGAGTAATTTGCCTCTGTTTATTAATATCCTCAGGAACAGGGTAGCAATTTGCCCCATATGCATCACAGATTTTTAGAACTTTTGTATTGGCATGTTCTCCTGAAATGAAAACGACAAAGATAGTCTTTTCTACATGCAACAGAAAAGCGTGACTATAAATGAAAAAGAAAACTGAATATATAATATCTACTCATGATTCTCGAAGCAAGAAGCTTTTCTATGCATCAAGTATACCTCAAAAATAAATGTTTGGATTTGAAAGGCATAAAATATGAAATTTAGAACAAAGAGGTTGGTTAGTCAAAAATTTCATCCAAGATGGAAACTGAAAACCTCCAAATATAAATATTTAAAACAACAAATAAAACTTAATGCAAGAAAAGGAAAAAAAAGGCAAGGGAAGTTATCAAACCATCTCGCCAGATAATGGATCCACGACATGTCTCTCAGCAGGTGCCTGATTAAAGAACAAATTGCCTCTTGTTGCTAGAAAAAGCTTCCTCTCAAATCTCAATGCTTTCGATTTACATATAATCCCTCTAATGAATCTCAATCCAGCTTTGTTAGATGGTCCTGACTGCATTTCCTATAATGTATATTCTACGGTTTAGCACAAAAAATCATTACTAAATGCCAGAAACAATTGACTAAGTGAAGAAGCAAATAAATAAATAAATAAACCTGTTCGCGTAAAGAAAAATGTTCCATATCTCATTCTTTGTGGTAGACCTTTTTTTCTAACTCCCTGTCAGGAGGGACAATACAGTTATATGCTGAAACAAGGAAACCACCTGCAAAAGAATGTGTAAAGGCACGAATAGTATTAAAATCTCTTTGAAAATATTAAGGGGAAGAACAAATAAAACTGACATATTAGGTGTCTGTAAACTATATGAAGGATTGCCAAATTTTTAACTCTTATTATAACAATGATTGGAAAAACTATCTTCACGCCCCCATGGGAATCCCTCTGGTTGGGTTGTTTCTTATCCAGGTGGTACTTCATCATGTTTTTCTGCAGATCTTGATATTTATCTAGATGATAGTTAATTCAGGTATTTTCCTGTTTCGCTTTCACTATAGCAGACAGTGTAACATATTTCACTCTCAAATGAAAAGTTTAGGACATATTCAACCTAAAAAATTATTATGAAACAAATCCATAGGAGATTCACAAATCTAAACTAAAAAGAAACTACATGATACTGAACTAAGCAGAAAATACCTTTAGCAAAACTAACTTAGATTCCAATAGCTCATTGTAAGTTTGCCATAGTTTCTCACTTTTGAATTCATTTCAAGAAGCTCGGCCTCATGTTCACCCAACTGTACCTGAAGCAAAGATTATTGTGTGTGTCAATCTCCAATACAAAATTCTCAATTAGAGCAGATATGTAGTTCTCATGGAAGCAAATAGGAAAACAATAATTACCTCAAGATCTTCAAGGTCATCTTCTGGTTTGGGTTGCAGAGCAGGAAGAGCAGAACATGTCAATCCAGCCTTGCTAATCTGATCAGTGAAATATCTCAATTTTCGTGACATCTCTCCACATCTCTTCACCTGTTAAAATGTCGGGAAGAAAGAGAAAAACAAAAGCAGCTTAATTGAAATTTGGTTAAACTATATTGTAAAATATTAAGTTTCTTAAAACAAAACATCCATAGTTGTTATTTGCTTAATAGAGGAACAATAGATCACATCTTTTAAATTAAGATCAAAAGGAAGTAAGATATAAGAGTCTAAGACTCTAATCTGGTTGACAAATGTACGCTGAAAGGGGCTCCTATCATGATTTAACTGCCAAAATGATAAACATACAGATGTACAAGCAATCAAATACAAATACAAATACAAATACAAATACAAATACAAATACAATAGTGTCATACAGTAGTAGGAATTATTATGCAAGTGATCGGTACATGGCTAAATCTTATACTATAATCTTAAGGCATTGGATCAACTAATCACATACGATACTTTTCACTGACAAATAAATTCTTAAACAATAACTTACTTACACCATAACAAACATGGGTAGAAATAAAAAGATCAACCTTTATTCTGTGCACTAATAGTAGTCCGAGAAAAATTGAACTGTTCACAATATTTCATTAAAGGGCGAGATTTCAGTCCTCTTCAATCTCATATGTGGCATCTTAAACTCCTTCATGAAAATCCATGCAGGGAGCCTATCTCTTGGGTAATATGTCTAGACCCCTTTGCACCACCTTGGATATCCAGAATACGACTCACTGTAATCAAGGGTGTCCCTCGTATAGAGCTTGTTAACTACTTCACCATCTCTCAAATATAATCAATACCAAGAAACCATGATCCATCTAAACATTTAAGTTTCTCAAGTCTTCCTCATTTCTTGCTGCAGTTTACGCCCTTTGTTAACACAAGCAATTTTTTAATCCTTTATCGTAATTTCCATCCTAATTTCACAGTGCTCACTTCTATGGTCTTCATTTTAATTCCTCCATAACATTTTCAGTCCTACACCGTCTTGCAAAATTTTCCATACATTTACCACCAACGTCACTTCTCCAGTTACAGAACCTATACATAAAATTTTGCAATTTCTTTTCAAAATTCAAAGCATCATATCAAGTATCAACAATCACTCCAAATTTTCACTCATATGCTTTACATTCTATGTAAAAATAAGATGATATCCATTATAACTGTCATCTCACTTGGTGATCGCAATTGTCTTCACTGCCGACATATCAACAAAAGGAGCACAGTTTGTGTAAGCAAATTATGTGAGTTATAATAGATAGAATAGAGATATCATTTTTTTGGCAAAAAGGGATTTGACCAATAACTTTTCCCAGATTACATGAAAAAGAAAACTTTATGACTATAATACAATGTTACTTGACTCCCAGATCTAAAATTTCTAACTCTTCATATTCATGAAATTGGTTATAAGAGACATGAATTTAAATAATCTTAGTTTAAACTACAATTTTTTATTGATAATATATTTTAGCGTAATTGATTAACATGTAATTTCATACGACCGAGCTACCCTAATAACTTCAAATAATCTAAGGGATTAGAGATTGAGGATTTATTTCTCCTTACAATAAAAACATAATGATTCTAGGTAGTCTTTTCAATTCTTTGTAATTATAAACTTCTTTAATGTTACATACTACGGGTAAAATAACAAAATATACAAAAAGACACGGCACGGGTAAAATACTAGTATCACCAACTATACAAGCAAATTATGCGGACAAATTTTTAAAAGGGGCTTTTTTTAATTTTATATAGCAAAACTGACCTTATTGGAAATTAATCTGCAAAACAGACTCTTTTATTTAGAAAAGGGTCGGTTTTGCAGTGGCGTTGTTTTTCGAGCTATACGGGACTGCTAGTCCTGTATAGTTCGGCCAGCAATTGAAATGCACAGGACTAGCAGTCCCGTTCATTTCTTTTTTTAACCCGTGACCCACTCATTTCCTCATTGACCTGTGACTGTTCCCCTCTCTCACCCCTCTCTCCTCTCTCGATTCCCTCTCTCGTCCCTCCCCTCTCTCTACTCCGCCGACCACCGCCGACCTCACTGACCAAGCTCCTGATCACTATCGCCGACCAAACTCTGATCAAGATAATTTTTTAAATTTTGTTGTTAAATTTGATGAGCAAAATGAATTGGGAGTTCGAGTTTAGCCATGAAAGTTGTTTTTTAGTTGAGATTTGGGATTAGGGTTTAACCATGAGTATTAGGATTAGGATTAAGCCATGAATAATATGATTAGGGTTTAGCTATGAATAATGTGATTTGGGATTAGGGTTTTTTGTTTTTCAGTTAAGATTTGGGTTTAGGGTTTAGTCATGAATAATGTGATTTGGGATTAAGGTTTTTAGCCATTATTTACTTTTCAGTTGAGATTAGGGTTTTAAATTTGATTTTAAATTAAGATTAATATTTTTAGTTATAATAGATGATTTACATATGATGAACTATTAATTTTCAGCTTTGATGACAAACTCTATACCCATTATTTGCTTTTTCAATGGGAGCTTTGGAGTCAGATTGAATAATATGTTTATGTATGAGGGAGGTTCTAGGAAAATGTTTATGCTATCTAAGTCATGTAATTTTGATAGAATGATGAATGAAATACAGAGTTACTAGAATTAATAAAGCAGAGAATGCAATTAAGGTGTTCTTCAACTGTTCGATAAATAAGAGTAGAACTATTGTTATGGAGATTACCGACGATGAATAATTGAATGACATGAAACAACTAGTCGAGAATCAAGTGTCAATTAAGTTGTTCATTGAGAAGTATCTGATTCATGAATTTGTCTAAGTTTTACAACCTCAAGGAGAGTTTTCTCGTATGCTTGACTTAGACAATAAGTCTCGAGTGGTTTTATGACATCTCCAAGTCAAGATCCGTGGTTTTAACTATAACATTTAAGTGGTCATTCTCTTGGTGGGACGTCAAGTACTATTTTAACGATGGTTTGGACCATGTTACGGGTGACCTACCGGCCAGATCAATTGTAGAAGAAGAAGTAAATGATGAATCAGAAGATATTAAAGAAGAAGGTGTGCAAATTGATAGCATGCAGGTGGCAGGTGGAATCGATGATGACTCCTATTGAATGGAATAATTTAATGTTAACAATGATTATGTGAAAGCTGAAGATCCGTTACCCGACGAGTTTCATAATGAGAATTGGATAAATACTTCTCAAGCTGAATTTGTTGATGTTGGTCTAAATTTTCAACGGGACTTTACTTTTAAAAAATGGGACCTATTCGAGAGCAAGGAAGCATTGATCTTTGCAATCCGAGAATGACCGATCAAAAATCGGATCAAATTCAAGCCGGTAAAAACTAATACAACAAACTACTATGTAAAATGTTACTTTAACGAGAATATTGAAGTCGAGCATGCAAATGAGCAAGATGAGAGAAACAGAGAATGTCCTTGGTTACTAAATACAGCTGTGAAAAAATCATCAAATGGGCAATTTATAATATCTAGATATTGCGGACTTCATACATGTTACAATCCGTCGGTGGATATCGATGATTATTCTGCATCTTCCTCTTATATATGTAAGCTAATTATGCCTGAAGTTAGAGCTGAACTTAATCTAAATGCAGGTCAGATATTTCAAAGGGTATATGACATGCGGGACATTAAGATATCTAAATATAAGGCATATGACGCAAGGAGGAAAACATTGTCTAAAATATTTGGAGATTGGGAAAAATCGTATGAATTACTTCCACGATATCTTGAAGCTATCAAAGCGAAATAATCTGGGTACTGAATATGAAATATTGTCCGAAGAGATTGCACTGGGGATGGAGAGGTCCACTCGAGTATTTTGGGCATTTGGTCCTGCTATTAAGGGTTTCACTTTTTATTATCCATTATTGAGTATTGACGGTACACATTTATATGGTAAATACAAAGGCGTGCTTCTTATGGTGACCGGTGTAGATGCAAATAGCGGTTTATTTCCTCTAGCATTTGTAGGTATTTACACCATGCAGCCTGGGTCGGTTAGTGATGAGGTCATATAGGACCAGCCTCGACACCGTTCACATATTATATCCTTTACAGAGGTAATTAAATTTCTTATAATTTTAATATTGTATTCTTATAATATTGCATTCTTATACTTTTATTTGCTCTACAGAAAGGCCCGGATATCGTTATGGTTAATCATAGCCTCTGTAATATCCCAACCCTTAAGAGGGTGATGTGATTAGTATTGATAGATTTGATTAGAATACTCATACCACCAAGATGTATCTTTTTTTCGAGAACCAAACGCTTAGAAACTCCAAAGTTAAGCATGTTTGGCCTGGAGAAATTCTAGGATGGGTGACCCCTTGAGAAGTTTTTTAGGGAGCGCGTGAGTGAGGACAAAAACGTGCTGAAAAAACATGTGGTGGTTTGTGAGGCTAGTCCATCAGATCTAATAGCGTATCGACTCCGGTATTTCGGGGCGGGACGTTACAAATGGTATCAAAACAAAGCCAACCGGAATTATGAGAGCTAAGTGCTATGCGGCGCAAAGTGTTACGTCGAGAGGGCGGGAGTCACCTCTTGAGGTCGTAGGAGTCACCTCTAGAATCTCACACGGATGGTACGGTCTTGGATGATATGATTTGGCGCAACGAGGATGTTGCGAGTTTAAGTGGGGGAGTTTGTAATACCCCAACCCTTAATATGGTGATGTGATTAGTATTGATAGATTTGATTGGAATACTCATACCACCAAAATGCATCTTTTTTTCGGGAACCCAACTCTTAGAAACTTCAAAGTTAAGCGTGTTTGGTCTAGAGAAATTCTAGGATGAGTGACCCCCTGGAAAGTTTTCCAGGGAGAGCGTGAGTGAGGACAAAAACGTGCTGAAAAAACATGTGATGGTTTGTGAGGTTAGTCCATCAGATCTAATAGCGTACCGACTCCGGTATTCCGAGACGGGGCGTTACAGCCTCGGCCATAGTCGTTGGCATCTAGAGGATGAGTGTATTATAGCCTCGGCCATAGCTGTTGGCATCTAGAGGATGAGCGTATTATAGCCTCGATTGGACGGGCCGGCTTCTTGACATGTTCAAAGCTTCGTTGGATGAGGCTCGATTGGCCCCTATTCACCGCTTTGATAGATAGATGGAGGCCAGAGACCAATGCTTTCCACTTCAGAATGAGAGTCTACCATTACTCTACAGGATGTAGCTATGATACTCGATCTTCGCATAAATGATCCTTGCGTTACTGACAGTGATAAACATTTTTGGCCGGACAAGTGTGAGGAGTTGTTGGGTGTAGCTCTAGAGTCAATGCTTAGAGGAAATATTAAATTAAAGTGGTTGAAAGAGACTTTCTCGGTGACGTTGCCTATTGATGCACCACAAAAATTGATGGAGCAACATGCATGTGCATACATTATGCACATGATCGGTTCGATATTATTTCCAGATTCGAGTAAAGATAAAGTGCATGTCAGGTATGTGTAATTAGTATTTATAATAATTAATATGAATTAGCTTATTTTAGTAACTTGAAATGTTGTGAATATGCTAGGTGGTTACCACTCATTGGGGGATTGGACACATGTGGTAATTTATCGTTGGGTAGTGCCATTTTGGCGTACCTATATAGAGAGATGTCCAAAGTGGCATTCATAAAAAATAATGACTTTAAAGGATGTCTCAGCTTACTGCAAGTATGGGCATGAGAGAGACTTCACTTGAAGTCGAGACTATGCGTGAATTTACAATTAGATGGACAAATTCCACTAGGATGCAGGTATTATATTTTTAACGTAACAAATATAATTGTAATTATCATTGTCGTACTGAATTTTGAAAATAACACGGAATGTCCAAAAATGTTATGATGAGACCCCGACTAGACAATTAGATTTCTACCGAAATGAGCTTGACCGTATGAAGATTTTTCAAGTATCACTAATATAAAAATTAGCTTTTACTTCTATATATCAACTCTTCTATATATCAACTTTGGTTTTAAGTATCACTAATATAAAAATTAGCTTTTACTTCTATATATCAACTCTTCTATATATCAACTTTGGTTTTAATGATATGCAACAATTATATGAAATACTACTTCTATATATCAACTCTTCTATATATCAACTTTGGTTTTAATGATATGCAACAATTATATGAAATACTCTGTAGATAGAATGGGAGCCCTACACCCAATTTCTCAATCATTTACCCCCGGTATGCACATAATACCCAGTTATATGGAGAGCCAGAGTTCCTCTAATATGTTTCGAGATAGTAGAAATGTATGTACCGGACCGCGTGCTTCGATAATTTGATCTTGCACAACATGTTCTGGAGTTTGTTGAAAAAATAAAGAGGAAGACAAAGAAAGGAGGCCAACAAAAGGACTGGACAGCTGAGCATCAAAATTATATACACAGATGAAATGATAGACATTTTTGTATTGTTGAGCAAATTGAACCAACTCCTCAGGAATCAGATTACTACACTTGGTATTGGGGGATAACCAGAAAATGGATACTCCATGAGACCACAATACCGGTTGAGTTGTAAAAAGGATATGTGCATCGATGTATAGATGAGAGAGAATTAGTAAGTATTTTCAAATTTTATTTTTGAACAATTTAGTCCATTTTTATTGGTATTTGTCAATATTGCTAACTTATGTTTTTTAAAAAAATTACAGGTATCGACAATAAATGATGTTCAAACCATTACAAATCGAGGCATGGAATTGGCTTGAGCAGGTAATATAGAATTGAATATGAAATTTACATTATGTAATTTGAATTTTAAAGTAATTTTTGCATTTCGGGTTTTTTGAATTATCCCTCGTAGGTACATCTCCCGAAGTACAAGAATATGCATCAATATATCAGTCAATAATGCGGAGGCTTCACCAAGCCTTACACCGAACTCACGAAGACCTTCATGATGGATGCGAGGTAACGCAATTCGTATACACGCGTCAACCAAAACAAAGACGAGGATAATGAAGAAACGATAATGAAGCTGGGCATTCCCAACGCGTTGACAATGGAGTTGGACTGTCACAACCACAAACGCAACCGGATCACGAACTCGTCGAAAGTCGGGATGGAGGAGACCGAAGACAAAGGAGGAGAAGAGTTCTTGGATGTATGTAAACTAATCAATATTTTTATATACATTGCAATCCTATTTTGGTATGTACATTACAAATCTATTTCGAGATGTGAGATGGTTTTTGGATTTGTAGCCGAGACTATGATGTGATTTATTGGATTTGTAAGTGGGTTTGTGGCGTGATTTGTTGGATTTGTAAGTGGGTTTGTGGTGTGATTTGTTGAATTTGTAAATGAGTTTGTGTTTGTGGTGTAATTTATGATTTTTAGATTTGATATATGAGTTTATATAGGGAATTGACAGGAAATGCAATGGTGTAATTTATGATTTTTAGATTTGATATATGAGTTTATACAGGGAATTGACAGAAAGAATTAACAGAAAAAGGAAAAGAAACATGTGCAGTCCCGTGCATTTCGTTTGTGTCTCGAAAAGCACGGGACTGCCAGTCCCGTGCAATTGGTTTGTGTCGGAAAAAGTCTCTTCTTTTTACTCGGGACTATCAGTCCCGACTAACTATCAGTCCCGAGTAAAAAACAGAGACTATCCGCAAGAAAAAATGTAATACACGGGACTAGCAGTCCCGTGCATTTCAATTGCTGGCCGAACTACACGGGACTGCTAGTCCCGTGTTGTTCGAAAAACATCGCTGCTGCAAAACCGACCCTTTTCGGTTTTGCAGATTAATTTCTAATCAGGTCGGTTTTGCTATTTAAAATTGAAAAATGGATCATTTTAAAATTTTGTCCAAATTATGCTGACTTTTTCTTCACCAATGAGAGACCTCACACCTTTTTATTTGGCAATTTCTTCCTAGATTTCAAAGTATCATGACAAGTCCAAGTTTTCAATCATATGCGCTGCATCCTAAGTTGAAAACGAAGAATTATAACTGACCTCTTAGTTAAATGTATGAAAATATTAAGGTATAACTACATTAATCAAAGTAACCAACGTCTCTCAACAAAAGGAGTAGAAGATCGAAGAATGGAAATGAGATTAGATCCGAGGGCTAGGGTTTCTTACGTCTCTGAACTGGACGAGGGCGAACTCGCCGATGTAGGAGATGGCCTTGTGAGCGGACTCGACGGGGATTATGAACTGCACCAAGCTCATCTTCTCCGATCGCAGGTGATCAATTGTCGGGAGTCAATCCAATATCTTCATCTTCTATTCGTTCTCACTCAAGAGATCAAGATCGTTTTTTTTTTTCCATTTTTTTGTAGGATTTAGATCTCGATTCAGTTGGCAACTGTCTACGTTGCGCTTCGGGAAAGAGGGAGCGAGAGAGGAGTGTGAGGAGACATGATGAGATGAAATGCCCTTGCATTTTAGGGAAATTTACGAGGATAGGACAATGGGCCCATTTGATTTTTTTTTTTTTAAAAAATCTATTCCTCTAAAACAATGGGTGGATCAAGATTCATTATTCATGCTAACAATGGGTGGATCAAGATTCATTATTCATGCTACAGTAATACTATCGTAAATTACTGTAGCACTATTAGTTTAGAACCAGCAGAGTAGATCCAATATCCACTGTTCATGATACAGTAAATTACTGTAGCTTATTACTGTAACATTATTACTGCAGAACTTACAAAAACTGCATTTAAACACAGAATTATTGTATCGGAAATAAAAAAAATGAATGTTGTGCTTTGCATGGAGTGCACACTAGTTTGAATATATTTGCAAACGCTACAAAATTCATAGGTGCAGCTACTGTATTTCTTGGATTTAATAATTAGTTTAGAGAAAATTTAATACAATATCTTTTTTTGTTTTGTTTAATAGAGGTCCACATTAATTGCTTGCCTTGATTTTATTTGATTACCATACTGAATTCGAGCCCTGTTAGAATTAAACATAACCCCATCAAATTATAATATTGACTCTAATAACGATCCGAAATCTCTCAACCCCATCAAATTATAATATTGACTATAATAACGATCCGAAAGCTCTCTACCCTAGGGGTGAGAGGTCCTGGTTGATTTTGACCATTTATTATCAAAATGAGCTAGATGCAAGACCGATTGAAAACGAATCACAACAGTTCGGTGCGGTTTGATTCGGTTTGTTTGGTCTAAGATTATACTAGAAAAGGTGAAACTGTATAGTTTATCATGTTCACTAAACGGTCATCAAAATGTTTTTCTCCATATCACTAGCTTAAAGGTTATTCTTCTCTTGGAACACTGGCTTTCACTATAAGACTACTTGTAGCAGGAAGGGAATTGAGGGACTTTTGGGTGCAGCAGGAGGGGAAAGGGGAGGGGAAAATTGAAAAGAAGAGCAGAAGGGGAAAATTTTCCCTATGGTGAAATCGGTCACAGTGGGCCCCATAGCTGCATTAAATTAAACTAAAAAATCAAAAGCCCCCCATAATCCCTGCCACACGCGACGTGGCAGGATTTTATTGGTCCATCAAATTTAGTTTTTTTCCTTTCTTTTAAATTGAGTTTTAGGCATTTAAAAAATTTGAATTTAATTTTTTTTTTTGCACCATTATTCTTTATTTTTCAAGATCTATAAATAGAGACTAAGTTTGTATAATTTGGACACCAAAAAAATTAATATATTTATATATTATATATTATTTATTGCTTTAATAAAAAATTATAAATATATGAGTGGCAATAATAACAATAACATATATGAAATAATAAGCAAAAATGAATTAATAATATATGGTGGTGTATATGTTGGAATGATATGGTTATGGTGGGTCCCAAATAAAGTAAAAAACTTTCTGAAAAACTAGCTGCTGCAGAGTTGATAGGGAAATGGGTATTATTGAATTATGTGGTGGGAGAATAAAGTGATGTGGCAGGAGAGAGAGGGTAAAAATTTGCCTACCTGCTGGAGATGGTCTAATTACTATCTTTTTGGGTCATTATTAGGTTGATTCAGCTCATTTGGACCTGAAAAATACTCCGAAAAGTATACGAGTATAAACTGATTCTTAGTACTCTAATAAGGTATACGAGTGTAAACTATTCCCTATTTTTGTTGAGAAGTTTCTGGAGAGTATTTTTCTAAAAATATTCTTAAGGATAACTCAACAATACTCCAAAAAGTATAAGAGTATAAACTGCTTCTTAAGACTCCAACAGACGTACGAGTATAAATTGTGTCAAACGCCGGACAACGCGTTACCAACAATCGATGGTTAGTTCTATGTTGAAACAACAAACACGAGCTAAAGATCAGAAAATCAGAAATTGACTTCAAGTTCAAAATTCTGATAATGGTCATATAATAAATGCAGCACCAGAACCCTTGCAAACATTCGACAAAGCACCGAATAGCCTGAAGGATTAAAGGAATTAAGAACAGAAGCCATTCCAAGGTCCCGTTACACCGACTGAAGGTTGGGACAATCATATCCAAAGTATTCCAGACTCTCCTATAAAAGAACGAGGCTGAAATACTTTGGAGGCGAACCATCGGGCGATGTATCCAAGCATGATCGTTAGACCACAACATCGAAGCTAAGTGAGATGCGACGAAGCAGATTAACGAGGTGACGAGGTTAAACACCAAAGCGGATTTACTGCCAAATCAGGATCCGGACTGCCAAATCAGAGTTTAGATCAGCGACAAAGCTTAGATAAACCGCAGAACCGGACAACGGACACAACGACACCACACCCGGGCGACTCGGTC